AGATAGAACAGCTTTCCGGAGGCGCAATCGTGGCGGGCGCCAGAACAACAGTTTATCATAAGCTAAAACAATCAGAAATATTTACATTGCGTTAAATTTAGGACCGTAGTTGATAAGTCATGCAAACTTACCGTGGAATCCGACTTTCTGTCCGCTCCTTCACGCAAACGGCTCCTCCGCATTAGTACGAGTGCAATTGTCAAATCGTGTGCTGTACCGCCCCGTCCGTGTGGAAGTCTGTGAATCGACGCAATTCACTGAGCGCATTAGTGCACGTTGCATCTTTGCCCTCTTGTACACATACGACTGCTTTACAGTGCAGAGCTGTCTAACTCAACCATAAGAAAATATACAGATTCAACTTTTGAGCAACCAGATCCACATTCTGAATTACTTCATATTTTGATAGGTCTTCGGTCCTCTCAGAGCGAAATCTCTAACACCCAATCCCCCCACACCAGTCCTTGTCCTCTATGTCAAGGGTCCGCAACTGCAGCAGTGTGCCATTTTCGTCCAATAAAGTGCACGGGGTCGGCGATGGGAAGGCAGTGATACCCAGGTGCTGTCCCATACTTTCCGCTGTCGCAGACCAGCCACACGTGCAACCATAGCCCCATAGCGAAAGCGCGCTATCTCTTCTGTGGCTTCTCCACTTCTGCTTATATTCCTACGGGCTGAGTACATGTCTCGTTGGCATAAACGCAAGCGCAGCACCTTCACGATAGTGTCAGCGGAGCACGGAGAAAGGCACACAGGTACCGCTACTCTGCCTGTTTCCGTGGCTCTGTCTGAAGCGGAGATAAGTGTTGCACGGCTACTGGAGCTGCGTCTTCGGAGGTGAGTTGTGCAAATTTGCCGCTCAAAAGCTGACAAAAGTACCTCGGTCAAAGGCTGGTTTTACTTTTGCGGCAGCGGGTCAGTAGCGTCACGCAGCGCTAGGTCGACTAGTCAGCATTCCGAGCGTCGTTGCGGAAGCCTCCAGCAACTCGGAAAGTATAGATATCGATTCAGTGTCCACCAGCGTCTATCAGCCTCCATCAGCCACCGTCAGCGTCTATCAGCGACCAGCACAGTCTCGTTGGCGCTAAGAAGTATAGGTATCGTCTAGCGAGCGAAGCAGCGTCTTACGAGCGGCCCCACGCAGCAGAGTCTCCCAAAGCGGAGAGTGGTAGAGAGTATGGGGAGATAGGAGGGTACCAACTGTCTGCTACTTGCCTATCGCCCCATGCTCTGTACTAGTGCCACCTTCCTCTCTCCATTTTTCACCAGTCGCTAGTGGACGCTGATAGACGCCACACATCGATATCCATACTTCCCTAGTCGCTGACGCTGCCGGATGTTCGGAAAGTAGTGGGCGCTGCTGGACGCTGTCGTCGCTGGTGGACTCTGCCGCAAAGTGTAAACGCAGCCTCACGTGGAAGGTCATCGATCATCAAGTGGGAACTCCGTGTCGTGAAATCAACAAGCATTTTAACAAATAAAAAAAATCTGTATCAAAAATCTGTTCGTGTCGCACGACCTGCTGCTCAGGCCACACGTTCTTAGAAACTTCCCTTGCACCAGCATTTATTTTTTGTAGCTGTTTTGATCTAGGTACGCAAAGCACTTTACCTTAACTTGAAAGCTACCGCGGAAAAGTCCTATAATAAGGCACACAAGCAGCACATAGCGCATTATCCTACCTGAAATGATGATACTAACTGGCTTTGATCCTTTCAATGAACTGGAGTGCATCACTTTTTTTGTTGACTCATCAAAATGACAGTAAAAAAGGAAAGAAGCTTGGGATCATTCAAAGAAAGAATGAGACGAAAACGATTATTGACTGGTACCTGATGCAGTGTCTATTTATGTCCTCCATAGCGTTATTTCTTATTCAACTGACGTACCATGCACTAATGCACCTTATTATTGCTTTCTTTCAGATGCTCCAGATGTTCTTCCGACCATATTTTTTGTATGCTTCTAAATTGTCCATATAAATGAGGACAGGTTGGTAGCAAGTGGGAACGAGGCAAAAAGCAAAGAGTTAATGATATATTAGATTGGTGCAAAAGAATTGCAATTTTTTTTGCTTTATTAATTTCAACATTTTTTTTCAACAAACTACAACTTTTTCCATGATAACACATATGGGTGAAGAGCTTATTTCATGCGTTTTTCGAGTTGGTTCTGACAAGTGGGTTACGCAGAATTAACCGAAAGTCTGAAAATTTTCTTTTTAATTTTCTCTTTCCGAGATATCTTCAGTCTATTTTTTGCACAATGCCACGCAGTTTCTTGTACAAATTGAAGCTTTCGATGAGAAGTGAATACTTTGTATAAAGATACGATCTGACTAGTAGATGGACCAATAAAGAAGCTCCACGACATCACCCAAAGCCGTAAACTCACCAAAAGAAGACGTTCGGTGGTCTCCAGTAGATATAATCCACAATACCCTGCTGAACCCGGATGAAACGATCACAGCAGAAAAGTACTGTCAGCAGGTCGACGGAATATACCTGGAACTGCGGAGTAAATGTCCAGCACTGATCAGTAGAAAAGGAGAATCCTAATTCATAGCTTCTGGATTTCAGTGATTCTAAGCAAGCAAGTTGAACAAAGTTGTTTTTCGTTGACAGAATCGTGTTTTTTGATAGCAGTGCTAGTATAGAATCCCGACTAAACCCAGTTCCAAAGGTCGCATCTGACTCTGATGAAGTGTCGTTTTTGAAAACTCTCCCGTCATGCTAAGTTCATCAGATGCAGACTTCATAGCAGCGAAGAATAAGTGAAGAACATTGATTGGTTTTCGCTATTTTTCATTAATTTGCAGTCAGCCTCATAAAAACCCTGGCTGAGATCCATTAACAAAAAGTCGTGCTTCGAATTGCAAATGTGATGTGCATTGCAATCGTCAAAACAAAATTTGCCAAGGGACTCTGTTGCCCGGCTTCTCTTCTTCTGAAGATGCCAAATGGTTGCAATTGCACGAAAATCAACAAAAAATTTGTCTGCAATAGCGACAACCCCAACTACAACAACAAACTAGCAAGTGACACGAAATAATACGAGCAAATCACGATTTATTAACAGCCAACATTACCAGCTTTTATGGAAGTGTCCTCCTGGAGCTCTTGTGCGAGCAGGGCAACTTTGAAACAATTCCGCAACAAAAAAGAAAAACCAGTAGATCCGAATTCCTGGAAGAGAAGAGATCCTGATTTTTCCTAGTTGTTGTGGGTGCCACGAAAACGAAGTCCTACAACACCGCTCGTGTCTTGATCTGGATTACGGTAACGTAGCAGTAGAGCGCTCGTATTTATGTTGTGTGTGTCGCTTCTCTCATAAATGATCGTGAACGATGCAACATTTTCAGGAAATCACGGAATATTAGTGCCTTTTATATGTGTAACGTTCATCGAAGCTCTTTCCCGTGAGGTCAAAAGGAGAATCAGCTTACTGTCTCCCCAGTGCGACAAGTACTGGAGAGGACGGCCTGCGTCTGCACTTGAAAAAGACCATGTTCCCTAGCCACGCAGAATGCAAAGTGCCCATCATAGACCGACACTGGGAAAATTATTCAAAGAATGAAGGGCGCAGAGAATGTTCTCTAGCAAATGACGAAATTCTAGATTAGATGAGGGAAGTCAGAATAAACACGGCATGGATGAAGTGAGGAGAGTTCAGCTGCATATCCTGCGATGCCATGTTCCGAGCGCCTGCGAAAGCAAAGTGTGCTGTAGGTGTATCAGTAGAATCCACAAAGCGCTATGCCAGCAAGCGCTGGTCCCACTGCAAAGCCCATGAGGGGCAGCCTAATCTGCAGAACTGAGGAAATAGGTGAGGTTCGCGATTGACTCCATTGGGTAGTCAGCGACAAGGACGTCGGTTCCATCATGTAGATGATGCCTTTTTAAAGGCAGTTGGCACGATAAATCGCTATACAGGTGTAGGATTTGTACAACTGGCTCAACAGAATTCCGTGACCTCGGACAGGCGCTGCGTGAAGCCTTTTCCAAGGAGGGTACCTCTATAACGCCCTATTGAGCAACAACTTTACGTCCCAAACGCCTTCCTTGCCCGCCCGCCCACAAACGGACGACCGTTTCTGACGCTCGTATTCATTCATTTGCTGAGCAAATTATGAAGCAAAGGGATTGGTATGAAGCGGCCGTGATGCTGCATGCATATATATGGGTACACATATGCAGCCGTACCTTCAGTAGCGGTGATCGGCAAGCTGCGTACGGGAAACTCGTGCGAAATCGATTTACAAGTCACTGAGAAACGG